CCTTTTATCCTGCTGCATTAGCTGCAGATTTGTTAACGAGGGATCAGATTCTTGTGATGATGGACGTTTACATCGAGATGCTTGGAGAAAAATGTTGGTCGGTATCGGTTTACGTCTAAAACGGCGGAATGAGATCAATAACAATATTTTCCCCGGACAAACAGCAGCACACACACATTACACTCACCCACCTCTCAACCTCCCCCTGCACTTAAAAAAACTCCTTCACATTCATTTTTAATGCAGTGCTGGGGTTAGCGGGGTTAGCCAGATCTGCAACGTTAGCAGCAGTGAGCTAATACGCCAACAGCTGTGCTGTGGGATAGTGGTGGTGGTTAAGATGCTGTTTGTGGTCTGTAGGGGGGGTCGGAGGCAGCAGTAAGGTGGGTGGTGTTGGGAGGTCAGCGTCAGGAGTTAATTGGCTTCTTGGCTGAGATACCCGATCCTGGTTGATCCAATCAGAGGAGAGACAAAACCTGGACCAACAGAGAGACCGAGCACCACAGCCACAGAGTCAGGACTAACATTATGTCACTATGTCATAATGACATCATCTGTCAAATCGCAAACACTCCATCTCTCTCTCACACACACACACACACTCACACACACATGTTCAATCAGAACCTTCATCTTCTGGGCATTCACACGTCTAAAAAGTATGGTTCGTCCAGGAGAGACCGCTGTGGACATATTAAACAGCTTCAAATGGTGTTGGATTTACAAAGACAGTGGAGATGGAGGTACAGAGGTGGACTTGAAGATGTTCCGTTCACACTAAACACAGGCCACAGATTCCATTACGTGGGATAGAAATGATATTTTAAACTGAAGAGTGATGGGAGATTTGAAGAAGCTGGAGAGGAACACTGGTTATTCTATGAGGAAATCAGGAGTGGCAGAAAAGTACATGAGGAAGTGCAGTACATGCAATGGTGTATTTGACTAGGGCCACAAATGTGTGCTTTTTACTGAACCGTTCAGTGCAAAAAACTGTGTGTCAAAGGGAACGCTGTTAATGGAACAGTGTGGAACAAAGTCCAACTTTCTGACCAGACCCATTTACCGCTCGTTTGAGTCATTCAGCCTCATGTACTGAATGGAAACAATATATTTAATACAATTGTTACTCATCTGATTTAATACTGTCATTTTCTACCCTTTCATAATCCCCTCCACTTATATATCTCCTCCTTCACCTTCTCTTGATTTCATTAACTTTTCACATACTCCCTTGTGTCATCTTTTTTTTCACTCCCTCTCCGTTCTACCTTCCCCCTCACTTTATCACCTCTTCTTCTTCTTCCTCGTTTTTTCTTAAATAATTTTTCATCTTTTCCCGTCCCCTTTGCCTCTATACTCTTATCTCCCCTCTCTCCATCTTCCTCCATCAATCTTTATCTCCCTTTTCCAATCCCAGCTCCCTCCCTCCCTCTCTTTCTCCTTTCTCCTCACCTCCCTCCACCCGTTATTACGTGGTCTTTTTCTCTAATATTTGATCTGTTTCTCCTTCATAAAGTGTCTCATTAAAATTAATCACAGGCTGAATTATTTCACTACCTGTGGTGAAAAGTGACAGATTTGCCGATTGCTGCCGTTCACTGAAGGAGGTAGTGTGTGTGTGTGTGTGTGTGTGTGTGTGTGAGTTCATTCCCCACTTAGTTTCACACGAGAAAAATCACATCATCGTCATTACCTGATGTTTTTTTCCAGTGTCATGTTCATGCTCTTGTCAAAAAAACAGTAAAAGTGAAAACTTGTCAGGTTAATTACATGACGAGAGACGGCGGGAAACTTCAGACGCCATTGAACATTTGCAGTCGCCCTTTTTTTTTTTTTTTTTTTAACAAACTGACATACTGCACCTTACAAACGTTTTAAACATAGGATTAACTGATTAGATGATCGGTTCCTGGATCAGTACGAAGCCCAGACATGAACCCAGCGCCAGACCAAGTTCCAAAGAGAAAACGAGCGTTTGTAGAATCACAGCGTCAGTAGAGCAGTTGATCCAGTGCTGCTTCTATCAGTGACTTCAGTGTCAGAATGACTTTGGGAACACAAACTGACCACAAGAGGCAGCATTGGACCAGTAGCTCCTAATAAATAATAAAATAATGATAGTAGTTTATATGTTTATATGGAATTTGATAGAACAATAAGAACTATATAAAATTAAAATTATTATATATATTTTTTTAACTTATTGAAAACAAATCCCAGAGAAAATGTGTGATTTTTGACCACTGGACGTGGTCTGCTGCTTCTTCACAGCAGTTTGTATCATTGAACTAAAACTGAACTGAAAGACTTCAAACCCAAAGCTATAAAATCAACGACCAGCTGACCCCTGTGTGGTGGTGCACCTGTGACTGACCTCTCCCTGATCAGACAGGGGTCAGTTTGAGGATGAGTCACCTTCCAGAGGTCAAACCCTGGAAGTGGGAGAAGAAAAGAATAGAGATGAAGCAGCTTAACGTGCACTTTTGGGACAAAAACAGTTTGACCTCTGCTGACCTCAGCACTCTGATTAAAGGAAGATGCCACTGGATTTTTCCTGTCAACCTCCTGTGTGCTTCTAAGCCCTGATCACACAAATACACAGGAAACCCAACAACACTGCAAGTACACACACACGTGTGTGTGAGTGTGTGAGTGTGTGTTTGTTGTTTCCTGTCGTGCAACAACTGACCTGCTGATCGCCCCAATCCACTAATTAGCAGCTTTGTCTCTCTCACCGCTGGCAGCCGCGCTCCGCCTCTGATTGGCTTGAGGAGGAAGTAAACACACACAGCAGTTTTTTTGTGCTTCATTAAACTAAAGAGGAGTTTGTGTTTTTGTGTTTGCAGGTGATGCTGTTGTTTCTTTAATCCACACAGCCACACTTCTCAGCAGCTTCTTCTTCCTCCTCCTCCTCCTCTTTCTTCTTCTTCTTCTTCTTCTTCTCCTCCCTGTGACTAAGTGAATGAACACCGTCTCCAAAGTCAAACCTCCTTGTCTCGCAGCCTAGACAGGTCCACTCTGATCAGCACCTGTCACAGTCAGAAGACAGTCCTGGAGTCCACCTGTAGAAATCTTGGTTTATTGTCTGTTTTCACCTCAACAGAATCATCATGTTTGACTGAAGAAGACCTGAGACTAGTGAAGGACAGTAGGAGATCAGGCCTGTTGTTAGAGAACTGTCGGTTCAAATCCCAACAGAGCTTTTTTCACAGAGGGGTTAAATACTGCAGATTCACGTGGTCGTCTGCAGCAGTGTGTACATTAAAACTGCTTCCTTTTCTCCTTCACTTCCTTCTTATTCTTCTTTTCCTCATCTATGTCCTGGTCCAGAATGTCATTTTTGTAAATTTTTTTCTCCGTTACTCTTCCACACATGATTAACCACAATAACTCCAGTAGGTTTCAGCTTTTAAAGTATTAGTCCTTCATCTGTAGATCCTTCCTTGTTCTTTATTCCCGGTCTTGCTTCCTTCTTGTGCTCCAAAATTCACCTTTTCTTCCTTTTTTCTCTGCAAACCTCTGGAGTTGTTCCATTTCTTCTCTCCTACTTTCTCTCTTCTTTTCTTCCCTTCTTTATTTTCTTTTTGTCCGTCTCCATTTTCCTTTCTTGAACCCTGAACCCTTTTGTTTGTTTGTTTGTTTGTTTTGATATTGGTATATTCCATATTTGATGTTGTCTTCTGGTTTGTCCCTTCCTCCATTCCCTCGTTCTCCCCCTCCTCTCACAGCTGACAGATCAGCTGACAGTTGTGGTCAAAAATTCTCCTGCTGTCTCCTCTCTTCTACACTTACCCTCCCCCCCCCCCCCCCCCCTCCTCTGGTGCAGTCATGGGAGAGACACCGGTGATTGTGTCTTGAAGGAGGTGTATAGCTTATGGGGGGGCG